GGAGGGATGGCGCAGGAGGGGAAAGCCCTCTATGAGGTGGATTGATTCAGTGACTGGAATAATCGGGATGGGAGTGTCAGAGACAGTGTGATTGGCACAGCACAGAGCAGAGTTTAGGGCTGTTGTACATAGAGTCGTGGCTCGACGGCACATAACAACAACAACATGTATGGCCAAGGTAAACTGACTCAGCGCTGAGCCTGCAATAGGTTTGCAAAGGAATAAAATTGCATAGGAGTAGAGTGGCCATCTTTTTCCTCAAAGTAGCTAATAGATTTGGAAGGCCACTATGCTCACCACTATACAACCAATGCTATGTAATAGATTTTAATCATGTGCCATTGAGTTGTCAGAGGAGCTCCTTAACAATAAGCCACCAGAGACTCCTTATGTGTCTGTGTCTGAATGTGTGTGTTCATAAATATACACACACAGAAACACACACATATACATATACACATAGTATTTGGAGATATAAACAAAATTCATTAATTCAATAAAATAATAGATTAGTATAAATGACAAAAGGGAAAAAGCCCAGTATGGAGGTCCATAAGAAAGGGGAGCTATTATAAAATAATGTGGTCAGGAGAAAAGATGGGGTGCTTGAAAAGGTGGTATCTAAATAGAGGGCTACAAGACCATGTGAACATGTGGGGAAGGACATGTATATGGGGATGAACCATCAATGCAAATAACCACCTTTCTAAATCATGTTTCATTGTACTTAATCTGCTTCTTCAATTTTCCAGTGGATGCTCCAAATATACCGTCCTGACTTAATAATCTTTGGGCATTCAACCCAAAATATCCTCTGAGGTTTTCTGTAAAGTAAACCCTAGTTTAGCTTAATTAGTGCAGAATGTCTGCCTTAAGCATTAGCACTTCTAAGATATACAGGATCAAATTAACAACAGCAATTTGAAAGAATGGGATAGAAAACTCAGGGGGCAGTGAGTTTATTAATGGAGAGACATTAATTCAGAAAAAGAAGAAAACAGTTTATATTTAAAGAATGTACCTGATCTCACTAAATTGTATATGTAGAAATGTTTGAGTTGGTGTATGTATGTATGTATGTTCTCAACAAAAGCAACAATAAATAAAATTTCAAAAGGGATAGTGACTGTCTTTATTATAGGTGCTGAATTGTTATTAGTACAGTATTACAAGAGTTTCACAACTTGGATTAGTCTTATATTATATGCATGATAGTCTCCAGCCACATCCCAGAAGGTATCATTTGTTATTGATTACATTCACTTACTTCTATTTCAGAAATTACACTTAAATGTATTTTTATTATTATTTGAGTGGAAGTTTACAGAGGAAATAAATTTTCCAGTCAATCATTTACATGCATTTTGTTTTATAATATTAATTACAATACCCTCATTATAACAAATATGTCTTGGAGAAAGTGCAATCAGGGTACTTCTTCTAGACAAGGATGGGGAATTTCATCTTACTTATTTTAGGCATGTTTCCAGGAGGGGCCAGTCTGCTTGGAAAGGTGAAGGGTCAGCAAAAAGGAAGAAACCCATTAATAAGATGGATCAACACAGTGACTATAGCCATGGGTTTGAGTATATCAGGAATGATGAGTATGGCACAGGTTAAGGTTCGGATCTGTCATTCATGGTGTCACCAGGAGCCAAAGTTGACTCAGTGGCACCTAACAACAACAATGTTGTCATTTCTTGTCTGTGATCTTCATTTTTATGGGTCCATCTTTAGCATTTCCTGCCTTCTCAGCTATCTCTTTAGGAAAATTCCATTTCATCTCTCATAGCTGAGTCCCCTTGGGAGTGAGTGGCTTCATGGTATTATTACTCACCATAAAGGCATACCTATTTTTTGGTTGGTAGTTGCACCATGTGGGTGGGTTTATTTCCAAGCTGGAAGGGAGACTAAAGACCATAGTCCCCAAACCAATGATTTCTATCAGATCAGCAAGACTTACCATTTATATGATTTTTTTTAATTCCCTTTTATGTTTCTCCACTCTGTCTAGGCTCTTGTACTATGCTTCCTTTTAAAGTAGTCAGTAGTGTTAGCTGGACACCATTTAGTTCTTCTGGTTTCAGTCATTTGTCATTTTCTTTATCTCTCCCTCTACACTGCTATTTTTCAGTTAATTTATCCCCAGCACTCTTTACAATTTTATAAGAGTCATAAACTAAATGTCATCTCTTCTTTTAACCTTCCCTGGCCCATCTTACCAAACCTGTTTAGTCTATAAATTTGTTCCCAAAATATTTAATACATTTTGTTACAATACCTCACTCACTGACATCTAGTATAGGAATGCCTCATTGAATGTCTAAGGCTATAAAATTTTGTGGAAGGAGGCTGTCCACATCATCAGAGCTCCATTTCATAACAATAATAAAGCATGAATTCATGTCCTTTTCACCATTTCAACTGTTAGTTCAATAAATTCTGTACTGTAAATCAGCATTTTGTTTCAAGTAAGACAAATCATAATAAATACTATTTATCATGATTAAAGATAAATCTTTCAAATTAAGTATGTTACGCAAAAGATCCAAGAAAAAAAAATTATACACTTTTCAAACAAGGTCAACTTTCTTCCTAAAACATGCTTTATATGGTTTACATATGCACTCAAAATTTGAAACAAATTTTGATGAAATAAAAGCATGTTCTAACAGGAAATAGTCCAAATAAAATTCCAGGAATGAGTCTTACCTTTATTCTTCCTAACTCAAATTGGAAAACATTGGGACTTGTTGCTTGTGCAAACACTGCAGGAAATAGTTTTGTGCTTGGCTCCACCTTTGAAAACAAATAAATTTAATATAAGCAAAGTCAAGAAGGTAAGTCAGTAAAGTTTTTGCCTTCGAGTTGGAACTGACTCATAGCTAACCCTCCTGCAGGTTTCTGAGGCTACAATCACCCAGGAGAAGACAACCCACTTTTTCTCCCACTGAAGGGATGGTGGACTTACAATGCTAGAGAGCTGAGGTTTACAGAAGATGACCAGAGAATTTTTCTTTCTTTTTCACAGGGTTGCTGTAAGTTGTAAGTTGACATGATGGTACCCAACAACAACAACAACAACAACAACAACTTTTATATAAATCCTCTTTATTGTTACAATAATTTAATAATTATTTAATTACTATGTGAACATCCCACCACTCATCTGCCTGTTAGTATTACTCTGGTTGTTGCATTTGACTGTCGTTCTGGAAGCTATGCCATCAGTATCTCAAATATCATCTGGGTCATTAATGGTAGACAAGTTTCAGCTTCCAGACTAAATGTACTAGGAAGCAAGACTAGAATTCACTTCTGAAATCATGAAACTCTCAAGACTGTTGGAATTTCTGCATAACACTGTCTGGTCTAGGGATAGAAGATGAGCCCTTAATGGTGCAAGGCACTCAAAATATGTCTGGGTAAGGAGTACCTCCTCAAAGAAGAGTCTACTTTACCACCATAGAGGGAGCAAAGCTTTCAACTAAGGATGAACCTTCATTTGCTGATGCAGTATGACTCAAAATGAAGACAAAAAATCTGCAAATATCCAGTAACAACAGAGCATGGTATCTGTTCAGATACCAATGGATTCATGGTACAAAGCATGAGTCTAGGAAAAGTGAAATGAATTAAAAAAAATAAAATGGAACCCCAAACCATCAAGATCTTGGCATTAATGAGTGGAAATGCATTGATATTGGCCATTGAGAATCAGGCAACCCTATGATCTACTATCCTAGGAATGAAAAATTGAAAAGGATTAGCTTCCCAGTCATTGTAAAAACTATATTTAAAAATCTACTCTGAAGTAAAATACAGTCACTGATAGAATAATATCCATATTTAGGTAAGGACAACCTTGTAATACAATGATTATATGAACATATGCACAAATATCTAGAGTTAAATATGAAGATATTGAGGATTCTAACAACTGGAATTTCTACCAGTCTGGAATTGTTTGAACATGTATTAAGGCACCTTAGAAAACAAACAAGAAGAGTTGGTAGTCAGAAAGTATGGTGTCGGGATAGACACAAGGGCAGAAATCATGTTAGAATTATATACCACCAAAACATTATTAAGTGTAAATATCTAGATTTGAAAAACATAAACAATTATACACATGAACTTTGTATGATGGAATGCACAGGAGTCTAACTGGCTTAATTTGCAGAAAGAGACACTGAAGAAGCTCAATAGAATTAATCAGAAAAAGAAACAACCAAGCGTAGAAAAGATCATCAGTTGCTTACATGCAAATTCAAATTAAAGTTGAACAAAAGAAAAATATGTCCATAAGAGCCAAAATTCAACCTTGAGGAAAAATTATGTACATGAAGAATTAATTTAAAAAAACAGATTTGATACAATAAACACTAATTGCCAAAGACCAGATGAGTTGTGGAATGACATGAAGGACATAATATATGAAGCAAGAAAAAGGTCACTAGAAAACTGAATTCTGAAGCTTTGTCTGACACACTCTGGACATGTTTCAAGCAGGGACATCATGCTTGAGAGGGTGGAGGGACAGTATAAGAGAGGAAGGCCTTTGATGAGGTGGATTGATTCAGTGACTGGGATAATGGGGGTAGGTGTGTCAGAGACAATAAGATTGGCACATGTTAGAGCAGGCTTTAGGGCTGTTGTACATGGGTTGCTATGAGTTGCAGGTGACTTGACTGCACATAACAGCAACAACAAGTGAAATGAACATAGGAGGCAAGCAGTCATGAAGAGACAGGCTGAGTTTGGATGTGTTACTTCAGCACTGTCTACCTAGCATGCATAGATGTATAGATAATTAAAAAGGTTGTTGATTTGAGGAATAGAGTCATAAGGAGCCCTACTTATTTACTTGGCCAGATGTGGGGACGAAGACTGAGTGAAAGGGTCAACTGGTCTGTAATGCATAGAGAAGTGGGAAGCCCTGAGTTTGTGGCTGATGTAATTTTGGACCTAGCCACAGATGGTTGGTCTGATATAGTTAGCTACAGATTGTTAACCAGAACTCAGGAAGATGAAATGATGATGATCCATATTTTGAGCCAGGGCTGACTGCTGCCACCTGATGGCTTGTTCTAGACTGGAATTTGTGATGCCCATGCTCAGTTTTATAACTGAATAGAAGATTCTTTAGCCAAAAGTTATTGCTTATTCCTTCAGAGTATTGGTTTGATAGATATGGACAAGTTAGAAATTGGCTATCTAAACCTGGTCAACTGACTGGAGATTCATATTTATGCCTATTCAAAAAAAAAAAAAGAGGTGAACCAATAGAGTGTGGAAATTATTGAACAGTATCACATGGAAGCAAAGTCATGTTAATGATTATCCAAAAACTACTGGAAGAGTAAGTATATAAACAGAGGACTACCAGGCATACAAGCCAGCTTTAGAAGAGGCTGTGGCACTAAGGTCAAATGGATCTTGGCTGAAAGTAATGTACCACCAGAGGAGTGTCTATCTGTGTTTCATTGACTATGCAAAGGCATTTGACTGTGTGGATTACAACAAATTGTGGCTAACTTTGAGAAGAATGGGAATCCCAAAACATTTAATTGTGCTCATCCAAAACCTACACTTGGACCAGAAATCAGTCCTCATAACAGACCAAGGAAACACAGAGCAAGGGAACACTGATTCAAAACCAGGAAAGGAGTGCTTTGGGGATGTGTCCTGTCACCATAACTTTTCAATCAATATGGATAACAGATCATTTGGAAGGCTGAGCTTTATGAAGAAGAATGTGGCATCAGGATTGGAGGAAGACTCATCAACAACCTGTGTAATATAGATGGCATAACCTTGCTTGCTGAAACCAAGGAGGACCTGAAACATTTGCTGCAGAAGGTCCACTGAAGCTCAATATCAAGAAGACAAAAATTCTCACCCTTGAGTCAACTGGAAACACAATGACAGATGAAGAGATTGAGGTTGTTAACAATTTTATCTTGCTTTGTTCCATAATCAACACTCTTGATGACAGCAGTCAGGAAATAAAAAAATGACTTGCATTGGGGAATCTGCCATCAGGGACCTCTCCAGAGTGCTAAAGACCAACAATGTTAGTCTAGAGACTAAGGCGTGTTTGCTTCGGGTCAGGGTCTTTTCAACTACTTGCTATGCAGCAGAGAGCTGGACAATTGCCAAGAATGACAGAAGAATTGATACCTTTGAGTTGTGGTGCTGGAGAAAAGTATTGAACAAACCATGGTCTGCCAAGAAAACAAAGAGGTTGGTCCTAGAGAGGATGAAAACAAGCTGCTCCTTAGAGGTAAGGATTTTAAAGCTCTCCTTACATAATATGGGCATGTTGCCAGGATGGACTAGTCCTTTGAGAAGGACATGATGCTTGGAAGGATTGAGGGATAGTGCAGAAAAGGAAGACCCCAGATAAGATGGATTGACACAGCAACTAGTGAAATGGGGATAGGTGTGTCAGTGGCAGTGAGACTGGCTCAGGATAGGGCAGGATTAAGAGCTATTGTACATAGGGTTACTTAGATCACAGGTGACTCAGTGGCATATAGCAACCAGGAATGAGGCATGAAGTAGCTGATAGACACACATTCACTAATGTAGGTATTAGTAAAATGATTGTAAAGGGAAAGTTAATTCTTTATATATGAAAGTTAATCGCTAGAAAAGCCAGGGGGTGGTCTGTGGTATCAAAGGTTCAATATTATTTTCCTAGCCATTGAATTGGATTTTGCCACAAGGATGGCCCAAAACATAGGATTGGGGCAGTCGGGTCAATTCACAAGGGGATTGGCTAATCTTGCCATTAAATTGAGTAGATTTAGCAGCAAAAAATGTTTAGAATATTCCCACTACTAAAGAAAATGCATAGAAAACAGAGGAAGCATCTTTTAGGGAAAAAGATTCCTGCACCACTCAGATTAGGACCTATAGGAGTCACAGAAGCCACAGCAGAGAAACAGAGACCTGACAAGAGACAGCTGACTTTGGACTGTTACCCCATGGGACCAGAGCTAGAAGCTTTCAACCAAGTTATCTGGAGGACTGGGGAAGAGGGGTGAGATGCCATAACTGGTAGAAGTAAGAACTTTGTAGCTCTGGCCTATAACCACAAGGCAGAAGGCTAATATGCCTGTGAGCACATACTGGAAGCTATCCCAACTAAACAATTATACATTGCTGCCAATTTGAATTATAGCCTTTTGACTTTCCTCATAAGCACCATAACCATGAAAAGATGACAAGAAAAACCAGATCAAAATGAAAGTTAGGATAGACTCTGGAATTTGCTCTTGACCTATAGAGAATGTAAAGGAAGAAAATTATGAAGTATCAGAGAAGATCTCAAATGGCAGTACTAGAAAACAAAGTATTAAGGAAATATAAAAAGAGCTGAAGTTATAAAACCAAAAGAGAAGAACAAACTCAGCTTGTCTCAAGCTAAAAGAATCAAAGGTTCAAGGATTGATTAGTACACTGAAGGATGGGCAAAATAGTGAACTATGCACGAAGCACTAAAAGACGACAGCAAGAATACAGTTACTGTACCAGAAAAGTTCTTCATTAAGTCTTTTCAGAAAGTAGCATATGATCAAGAGCCAATGGTAATGAAGGAAAAAGTTCATGTTGTACTGAAAGTACTGGCAAGAAAAAGGCCCCAGGAATTGATGGAATGCCCATTGCCATGTTTCAGGGGATAGATGCAATCCTAGAAGTACTAACTCAGCTATGCCAAGAAATTTGGAAGAAGGGCTACTGGTCCAACTGAATAGAAGAGGAATGTGCCTGTTTAAAGAAAAAAGGAGGAGTGTGACTCAACAGAATGTTGAATTTACCAAACAATAATGTCAAACATACATACAAGTAAGTGAAATTTTGCTGAAGTTTACAAAAAAAAATGGCTACTACAGTACATGTGTGCTCTTTCAGAAATTGTACAGGAAGCAAGAAGTAGGTGTTTGAGAAGGACATTGTTTAAACTTAGGAGAGGTATCATCACCGTTGTTTTTCTCCACCTAATCTATCCAATACGTATGGTTAGCAAGAATCTACACAAAAAAGAATGCAGCATAAGTATTGGTGGAAGACTCATCTACAACCTACCATATACAGATGACATTATCATACATGTCAAGAGTGAAGAAGACTTAAGAAGATAAAAGACTACAGTTTTCCTTTTGGAAACTAACATCAATAAAACAAAAACCTTCACAACTAATCCAACAAACAACATATGTTGATTAATGGTAAAAATATTAAAGTTGTCAAGGATTTAATTTTATTTTAATCCACAATTAACACCCACAGAAGCAAAAGTCAGGAAACCAAAGCACTCATTCTGTAGGACAAAATCTGCTGCCAAATAGTTCTTTAAACTATTCGAGAGCAAGGATATCAGTTTAAAAGTGCACCTGACCTAAACCATGGCATTTTTTTATTATTAAATTTTATTAGTTTTAATGAACATTTACAGAGATTTTGGGTTTTCATTCATTCATTGTTGCACTGTTTTCTCCACCCTCCTCTCCAGTTTGTTCTTCTTCGCCCCGCCCAATGTCTGTTTCGATTGCTTCATATGCATGAAAGTTGAACAATGAGTAAGGAAGATCACAGAAGAATTGATTCCTTTAAACTGTGATGCTGGCAAAGAATATTGAATATATTATGGGCTGGCAAAATACCAAGTACATGTCTATTTGAAAACTTGCATCCAGAATGCCCCTCAGAAGCAAGGAAAGTTGCATCTCACATGTACTTTGGGCCTACTATCAGGAGTATCTACTCCTTGAAAAAGAGGTCATATATCGAAAAGGAGATGGCAAGTGAAGGAGAGGAAGACCTTCAATAAGCATGACTGACAAGGTGCCAGCAACAATGATCATCATCAGACATCATGAGGAGTTCATAGGATGCACAGGATTGGTTAGAGTTCCCTTCCTACTGTACGTAGGGTCTCTACCTGCTGGGTTCAACTGAACAGGTCCTACCAGGAGGAACATGGGAATATTTTTGAAAGTTCATGCCATCTGTTGACTTTTCAGAGTTTAAGATATCCTTTTTTATTTTCTTCTGTTAATTTCATTTCATTTACTTTTTGATCTTATAAAATTGATTTCTCTTTACTGAGAAAATTGTTTCTCTCTCCTTAGAAGCATGCCCACATCCATGTATACATACCTGGTAATAGGTGCTCAATTCCTTGCCATTAGCAGTGAATGTGAGCAAGCCACTGGCCACGTCCACCACACAGCCAATCTCCAGTCCGTTGTTGTTGCGTCCTTGCCCAGGGCTCATACTCTCACCTGCACACACCATGTAGCAGTTGCTGCGTTTGATGCTGAATTAAACAAACAAAACAAAACTATCTTTGTACAAACACAGATACACTGTAAAGCATGTGTTTTTTGCACACTAAACCTAATTATGCTGCGCAAGCAACAAGCTCATGCTGCAATGAGACAGGTGCACAATGGGTCCAATTCTGTGATTCTGAGCAGCACTCCATTGGCGCCAGTGGGAATTCTGAGTCGGGTCTTACACTTTGCTAAATGTTTTGCCTCACGGAGACAGGTCAATGAGTGTGAACTCAGTAAGATGTGACCTGTACCTTCCTCCAAAAACTCAAACCAAACTAGACTCTTCTCTGAGATTAAGAACAATTTTACCTATTAAAAAATCAGCAAAATGTGTCATTTTATTGTTTTGGTTTTAGACCTACTCTAAGATGAGGACTATTAATTTCTAAATAATTAATGTGCTATGATGAAAATTCCCCGTGATCTGCTTTGAGATAGTAAATCTGTAACTACTGAGCAGATCACCACCCATTTGGAAACATAAAACATAAGAGTCAGAAGATTCATTTTACAGTAAAACTGCTCCATATGGTTTTGTTGGCTGTACTTTTTTATAGAAGATCACCCAGCCTTTCTCCTGTGGTGCCATGATATGTGTTCTAAGCATAAGTTCTTATTTTAGTAGGTTAACACTATCTTTGCACCACCTTAGTCAACACTATTAACAAAATTCTACCTGATTTTCACCTTCAGAAGAACTTACAGCTGAGATACTTAGAAAGCTAACTGATTTCAGATTCCCTTCCATTCCCTTTCTGTGTCACTACACAGTTGAATCATAAATGAAAATAGAAGGGGGAAAGACTAAATACATATAAAAAGGTGTTAAAGGACAAAAGTTTAGGATAAAATTAGTTTCCAAATAGTCAGAGTTATATTTCTTTGAATGACTTACATAAGATTCAATAATCCCTTCTTAATCTTCATTTCTATACCAAAATCACCTATGAGTAAGCTTACCTCACTACTGAATAATTTTCTTCTACTGTTGCTATCCAATGTGTTCTCTAAGAAATCTCCTAGAAGCCAGTTCTTAGTGTGTTCTGAAATTAAGTACTCTTCACACATGATTTTGCTTAAGGAAATAGTTTTAAGGTCTAGACCCATGATGCTTCAAGTATTACAACCAGAAGGCAAGAGAGTGGGTGTCTCCAACACCAAAGCAAATGGTGCCATTATAGGGGAAATAGCATCATGGCGGGCTTTTTCAATGAGAACTGTCACAGCAGATCATGGAGGAGGCACGGGCACAAAAGGTGGATGTGAATGACAAACTCTTCTCGTCTCATTCTGTAAGAAACCTGGCCTTGAAGGTTTGGTTTGAGTTTGGTTTGTCTTACAAATGGAAAAAGGATGGTACAGAAAGTTCAACTGACTTACCCAAAGCCACACAGCGAGTCAATGGTAAGGCTGAGGAAAGAACCCACTTGCTCCTCAGTCTGAGTACAAATGCACCCACCAGGTTTACACCACTAGTCCACACTGTCTACTGCTTTCATCCCACAAGACAACTGGTTCCCCAAATGCATATCACATTATAAAAGAAACAGTTCTTCTTAAGCCCTTCTTATCTATCTCTTATTCATAAAACAGGTTGTTGGTTATCAATGTCCTTAGTCATATACCGTAGTTGCTGTGGCTGTTGTTGGGGGCTATGGAGTTGATTACAACTCATAGCAACCCTATGAACAATAGGTCTGAACCCTGTCTTATCCTGCATCATCCTCATCATCTCTAATAATCTTGAACCCATGGTTGCAATAACTGTGTGAATCCATCTCATTAAAGGTCTACTTCTCTTTTGCAGACCCTCTGCCTTTCCCTGGCATGAGGTCCTTTCCCAAGTATTGGTCCCTCCTGAATACATGCCCAAGGAGGTAAGGTGAATTGTCATTATCCTTGTCTCTATGGAGCACACAATGGGCGCACTTCTTTCCAGACATGTTTATTCTTTTGGTGGATGGGATATTCAATAATTTCTGCCAACACCAATGTTCAAAGGCATTACCCAGAAAAGGTTGCACTTTTCTTACTTGATAATATCCAGATTCTTTATGAGCTTACATGAGTAACAGAAATTATACTAACACTTATGACTGGGTTTTATTTCTCCTATGAGAAGAAATACTCTCTTAGGAAAGAAATTCAGAAGAAAAAATTATCTAGAAATACCACATTCTTTTATCAGATTTCACCCATAAGGAAAAAAATAACAAAGCAAAACTGAGGAAAACCAACCTTTCATGAACTTTTCCTTTCTCATCCCCCAGAGTAACGGTCACTGTACGAACTGTGTCCAGGTCGAAGCCTGTGTGGTACTGATGGAAATCGGATGTGATCCATCCCACCCAGACACTAGCAGGGTCTTGTCCAGGAAAGATTCGCACGGAGTAATAATACTGTCAAGGAAGGAAGGCCAGAATGTTGAGGAAGAAGAAAATCTTTGATCTGTACTATTAATTCTTCTGGAATCTCTGCATTACTTAAGACTACATTCTTCACTGAAAATCATTCAGCCTAATTAAAATGTTTTAGGCACAAAGGAGAGAGCTCTGGTGTCTGAGTGGTGAGGAATTGTGCTGTCCAGCCAAAGACATACGATTCTAATTCACCCCAGTTGCTCCATAAGACAAAGATGAGCAATCTCCTCCTGTGTGATTTACAGACTCTGAAAAAATGCTGAAGAATCGGCTATGAGTCAGTTTTACCTTGATGGTACACAACAAAAGACTGACACTGCAAAATGAGGAAAGTCACATAAGAGAGAACTTGAAGCAAAAAGTAGGCAGAAAGACAGTTATTTGAGGAAAACACTAGGATTTCAGGCTTTTCTTATTTCCTAGAAGCAGGTATGTAGGTACATGTGTGAATGTTTGTATGTACATGTGTCTATGTCTGTATACATACTCACACGCATATCTAGTATGTTTATGTAATAGAATGAGCACAATATTAAGCAGGTAAGTGTCAAATTCTTCCAGCTTGCAGAAGTAGACTAATCCAAGCTAGATATTTGTATATCTACCACCCACCACCTTGGAAATTACCTGCGTTTTCTACCTATGACATAAGATACTTTGGCACCTACTCAGCCATCTGAAAGGCACGTGATTTGAATCTATCAGATGCTCAACAGGAGAGAGACAAGTGACCTCTTCCTGTGCAACTAAAACTGTCTCTGAAAATCCAAAGAAGTGTCAGTTATGGGTTGGTTCCAATTCAATGGTACACAACAACAATCTTTAAAGTATTTTTAAATAGTTCAATTCTAATAGGTTAATGAGAAATCAAGAATGAAAGCATTCTAGAAGCAATATATAAATAGAATTATTTCATTGGAGAACCTAAGGACAGTATTTCTGAGAAAAATTATAATGGTAGCCAGTAAAACTTGACCTCTATCTAGTAAAAGATATTAAATAATCTTTTAAACCCATCACGAATATGGAGGAAACTACATTTACCTTGAAAAGCTGAGAATAAAGTGAAAATGTTGTAAAAAACATTGAATTCAAGATTATAGGTGTCATTAAACTCATGTTTCCTAAAGTGGCTTGCTTATTGTTTCAAAAGTAATTGTATACATATTCAAGTGTGTAATATTTTAAAACTCCATGAAACTCAAATCTTAAATTCATGACCATTGAGTCAGAACTGAATCACAGCTGATTCTACAGTGGATTTTCAGATTCTATAAACAGCATGAGAGGAGAGTACTCATCTTTGTCTTGCATAGCAGCTTGTGGATTCGAACCACCTAACTCTGAGTTGGCAGCAGAAATCCTTAGTCGCTAGGTCACCAGAACTCCCTAATAAAATATAACTCAACAATGATTTTTTAAAAATTGCTAAATATGATGAATCCAAATTAGCTGTGCAAAGTACAAAGCATCACAACAGAAAACAAAAATCAATGCTAAACGCTGCAACTTCATACCGTAGACGTTTGCATCAGGTAGTCATAGTCATCCCGGTCATCGGCAAGCACATCTTCAGTAAGTCGTGCAGAATGGCTTGTGCTGTAATCTGGCTTTGTTCTTCTAAGCAAAAATCTGCAGGAAGCAGAGGACTAGGAATAAGCACTGTTAAAATACTCTGTCTCCTTCAAACATTAGTATATGATCAAATCAGTCCTTCTCAATTGATGATATTTGACAAAGGCTGAAGACATTTTTGGTTGTCACTGGTGGAGGGTACCATTAGCACCTAGTAACATGCTAAGGATGTTACAGAACATTCTACAATGCACAGGACTGTGCCTACAACAGAACTTTATCCAGTCCAGAGTGGTAATAGTGCTTAGGTTGAAGAATCTTAACTTAGGTCAAGACAATATTGGAATCTGTTTTGTTGTCCATAAAATATATAATTCACAGAAAACTCTCAGTAAGTCTCAATCAAGAATATAAATATACTTTTGCAAGTAATTATTGGGATAGATTATTCCAGTATCAACAAATTCCATGACCAGGGGGTTGTACAGTTTCTCCTATTTTGTGTGTGCATGCATGCATAGCAGTGGAGGAACAAAATAACATAGGGAAATTTTTTTCTACTTTAACTTTTTCAACATAGTAACTCCATATTTCAAATCACATTGCATTATATCAATGACCTTTGTTTCAGACGAGAGGGTTTTTCTTGAGCATAATCTTTGTGGTTGTTAAACTCCGATTTTGTAGTCTCTTTCTCTTTTTCCACCCGGTCGGGCACTAGATGACCATGAGCTGTCTTCATTAGAACCTCAAAGTCGGAATCTGCATCAAAATCTTCCAGTTCATTCTTGGGCCCAAAGAGGCTGGCGCCAGGGAGCCCCCCTGCAGTCTTGGAGAACACCTCTGCACACTCGATTGGCATGCTCAGACGGTAAAACATCATGTCAGTGCTGCTGTTCTGGGACCCGAAGGACTTCTGGGTCACCTTCAAACATGGGCAACTATCAATGGTGCCGTCTATTCTGGTCACCTACCAAAGGAACAAGTAATCGTTCAAACTACTATCATCTATTTCTTAATTCTAATGATGACCAATGCATAGTATGCTTACAGAAATCAAATAATGGTCCAAATACGTTACCATTTGGGAAAAGAATTTCAACTATACAGATCACTATCTTATATTTATAGTGACAGTTGTGCTTCTAACTTGAAAGATTGTTTAGGAAGTGCATATTAAAATTTACACAGTCTGTGTCTGACATTAACATAAATTAACACTACCATTAATATAAAAATGAATTAAATATCAATCAATATAATTTCACAATACTTAGTATTATAGGTAGTCAATTCCGCATCTGTGTAACACAATGGGGACATCAATATAAATAAGTTACAATAATTGCACAAGTCAAAACTCTCACATAAGAAGAGAGCTCACTTTGGGGGTTTTAGGCAATAGTATGATTTTTAAAGAAAAAAGCAAACCTCAATATGCTCATGGTTGGATGGCACTTGGAGGAACTGAGGAAGCCTCTTGCTCAGCCACATGGTAATGTCCCTGTTTGTATTCACTGCAAATGGTTCAAAGCCCTCTTGTAAGCCACAGATGGTGAAATATTTCAAGGTGCTGACATCTTTTCCAAAGTTCATTCTGCCCACCTGTGCCACACCTAGGCTGCACACAGGTATGAATCCTGGGGAGAAAAATAAAAATGAAAATCTTTATTCTGATTAGTAAGACAATTACCAAAACTATTGTTCTGGAATTGCTGATCCTACAGCCCTCTCACTCAGGAGTTCGTCTAAGGAAGAAGGGGGGAGACAGAGAAGTCCCTACCATGGCTGTGCTGGTCCATCAGCTTAAGAATTCAATACAGTAAAACTATACAAGGCATGCTTTCCAGATATTAAAGAGAAGAAGGAGTAGCAGGTGAAATCTATAAGGATTAAATCCATAAATAGGTAGTAGCTTCTGAACTTTGAAAAAAATCTTGCCTATATAGATGAATGTGTGTGTATACGTTAATATAAGAATACATATATGTATGTGTGTGTCTATCTGTGCTTCATTGACTATGCAAAGGCTTTTAACTGTGTGGATTACAAGCAGCTGTGGCTGACTCTGAGAAGAATGGGAATCCCAGAACATTTGATTATGCTAATGCAAAACCTATACTTGGACCAAGAGGCAGTCGTCAGAACAGAGCAAGGAAACACTACATTGTTCAAAATCAAGAAGGGGGTCCATCAGGGATGTATTTTGTCTCCATACCTTTTCAATCTGTATGCAGAACAGATCATCCAAGACGCTGGGCTGTACAAGGAGGAATGTGGCATCAGGATTGATGAAAGAGTCATCAACAACCTGCGTTTTGCAGATGACACAATCCTACTTGCTGAAACTGAGGAGGACCTGAAGCCCTTGCTACAGAAGGTCAAGGACTGCAGCCTCCTATATGGATTGAAGCTTAACATCAAGAAAACAAAGATTCTCACCACTGGGCAATTGGCAGCATCAGTATGGATGGTGAAGAGATTGAGACAGTTAACAGTTTTAGTTTACTTGGCTCTACAGTCAACACTCTTGGTAACAGCTGCCAGGAAATCAAGAGATTGACTGGGAAAGTCAGCTGTGAAGGACCTCTCAAGAGTACTGGAGAGCAACGACGTCAGGTTGGAGACTAAGGTGTGCCTGATCTGGGCTATAGTCTTCGCCATTATGTCTATGCATCCGAGAGTTGGACAGTGAATAGGGATGACAGAAAGAGAATTGATGCCTTTGAGCTGTTATTCTGGAGAAGAGTGTTGAATATACCATGGACTGCTAGGAGAACAAACAGGTTTGTCCCAGAGGTGAAATTGGAATGCTCCTTGGAGTCAAGGATTCTGAAGCTTCATCTGACGTACTCTGGGCATGTTGCAAGGAGGGACTGGTCCTTGCAGAGGGAAATCATGTTTGGCAGAGTGGATGGGCGGTGCAGAAGAGGAAGACCTTCGGTGAGATGGATCAATTCTGTGACTGGAGTGGTGGGAATGAGTGTGTTTGAGATGGCTAGGTTGGCACAGAATAGAATGGAGTTTAGGGCTGTTGTCACTAGGAGTCGCAAGCGACTCGATGGCACATAATAACAACAATAACGTGTGTGTACATGTTATGTGAGTGCATAAATATACATGTATATTATATAAATATACATAAATATATCCATACTTACATTTAGTACATTTCAAAAAAAGGCAAAATTTTCTTTAAAAACCCAAATTTCACTGTTTCCTTGCAGCTGCTCTCATCTACTAAAATTAAAACTTGAAAACGCTCTCCCACACCAACTCCTTACACCTTCAACAGTGAAACCAGGAATCCCCTCTACCAATAGCTCCATGTTCTTGACATCTTTTTCACGATGTTGGCAGTGTTTCCTCTAGCTCGGAAAGGATGGATCTTTCACAGCCTCAAACCCATTAAGATTGATAAATGACCACAACCACTTCACTGTAGTTGTGCAAAATAACACAACCACTGGGACAAAACAAAACAACAAAAACAACCCAAAGTTCTTCTTGTTAGGTGTCAGCCAGTCAACTATAACTCATATCAATTCTATGAAAAACAGATCAAAACCTTGTACTCTGACTGCTTTTCCTCCAAGACAGACATGTTTGTTCTTTTGACAATCTATAGCATATTCAATACACTTTGCCAACATCACAACTCAAAAGGCAGAAATTCTTCTTCAGTCTGCTTTATTTATTGAACTGGCTTATAGCTGACCCTCCACTGAGTGTTCAGAGACAGTAAATTGCATGGCAGAAGATGGTCCATCTTACTTCTATGGAGCAGCTGCTAGATTCAAACCTTCTCTCTTTGGGTTGGTAGTGCGACTCCTTACCACTAAATCACCAGACCTTTGTGCATGTATGTATGTGTGTTACAGATTTTGAAAACTGATACTTTATCGTAAGAATGTGCACTAGCTCTGGCAGCCTGGCAGTAAGGACCTATGCTGTCAACCTGACGGGAGGGAGTTCAAATCCACCAGCTCCTTCATGGGAGAAGGATAGGCAATCTCCTTTCCTGTGATTTATTGCTTCTGAAAACCTGATGGAGGGTCAGCTATGAATTAGTTCAGACTCAAGGGTACATAATAATGCCAACAACACAGGAATGCAGAAACTTCAGCCCCACCTTTTTCTATCCAATAAGATTTATGACAATATTCATGACACAGTACAACCTGCAAAATCTGGAAACTGTGTAACACAGAAAAGGAAAATAGAAATATTTTCCACTAAAATAAGTGATAGAGAAGAGGCAAGTCTGCATCGTGTCAAAATTGAACTTTCAAGATCTAGAAAAACAAAGAAGCCACATTATATTCCACCTCCACTAGGTGTCAATGTGTTGCTAAAATTTCTCTAAAATCCACTCGTCACCCTTTTCCTTTCAGTGTTATTCTTACTATAGGTTAAGCTAAGCAGTAATGAAATAAATGAAATAATTATGGTACAAAGTCAACAAATAAATCTGTTAAATAAGAACCTAAACCAAAAGGTTTATAAGGAATAGGAAAAACACACCCAATAAAATAACTTAATAAACTAGTCCCTTCTTGACCCAAAGATACTCAAGGTCTATGAGACTCCCAACAGGACCATCTGACACCATTACCACCACAGTAGGCTTGATTATGACAGCGACTGTGAGGATGGCGTCGGAAGCACAAAGTTCAGAGCTGTTGTTCATAGGTTCACTATGAGTTGTAGACAACTCAATGGCATCTAACAATAGTGTAATGCGTCAGCAAATCTTTCTGCTATTGAATAAAAAAAGAAATTACATTCACTGAGCTCATTTTTTTCCCGTTGAAGCTTTTGAAATGAACTGTTTTGAGGAACAAATTAGAATCTGGGCCAATTTGGTAGTTTTTATTTAAACTTCATTTGTTTCTATATCATTTCATGTAAATGTGTGAGTAGTGGGCACAATAAAACACAATCAGTAACAGGATGCAGCTAAAAGTTACAGCATCTAACTTACAGATAAAAAAATGTTGTCTCCGTGACGTGGTAAGTCTCACAAGTAAGCCAACAACTTTCACAACAGAAATTGCATTTTATCTACTGCTTTGATTTGTACTCCTTTCATTGTTGAATTTAGTGAAGGTTAAAACAATATTGGGGATGGGTTGGGGGAGAGAAGGAAATGGGAAGGCTCTGTGTGAAAAACATGTATTCAAATTTGAAAATAAATCAGCATAAAAGAACAAAATTTAAAAAATCAAAAACACGCCCCCAGTATTGTGATAGTTAGATGTCATCCAGTAGACATGGCCTAACTATGACTTACAGCAACTCTATGTACAGCATATCTGAACCTGGTCCTATCCTGCACCATCTTCATGATCTCCCCACAAGCTTGAGCCCATTGTTGTATTAATTTATTTTGTTCATCCTTATTTCATTCTATATATACTTAATTCATCCACTAATTCATCTTGTTGAAGGTCTTCCTCTCTTTCTCCAACCCTTAACTTTTCCTGGCATGATGTCCTTTTCCAAGGACTAGCACCTCCTGACAACATGTTCAAAGCATGTGAGATGAAGTTTCACCATATTTGCCTCTAAGGAGCACTCATGCTGCACAGTCTCCAAGATGAACTTATTTTTTCTTTTGGCCATCCATAAGCTTTTAACACTCTACTCCCCAAAATAGGCACAAGATGATTAAAAAACACACCTCATAATTCTTCATGCTGCACAGCTTACATTCATTGAGACATATTCAAATGAGTAAGTGTCTAACAATGCCAACCACCAGGAATAAGAACACACCCAGCTGTGTTTAAGAAAGCAGAAATGTTTCCAGTTAAAACCAACAGACTGTAGCTGTGCCTGCAGCTGTGCCAGCTCTTGAAGCAATTTTCAAAGAAAATGGCTTTACATAAGGGTCTCCAAAGGAACAAGTGAAAGGATGAATAAATACAAAGAAAAACAGACCTGAGTCTACATCAGCACAAACTGATAAATCTAACATGCATTTCACACATAGAATACCAAGGAAAAACCCCCATAATCTGAGACAGTAAAATCTATTCTTTTTCTATTCATTATATTTATGAGTAAACCCATAGGATCAGATAGTAAAATATACTATTTTTCTATTAATTATATGTTATGGATGAAACATGGGCAACCTCCTCCTGTGCCATTTACTGCCTCTGAAAACCCACTGGGAGTCATCTATGAGCCGGCTTCAACTTATCTTTTTTTTATATTAGAGAATACTAAGATAGGAACACATTCTCAGATAGTAAACATCTAGTTCCTGCCACCACCTCCCCTATTTTTTATTTGTGAAAAGAAGCTCTGGTGGTTTAGTGGCAAGGAGCTGCACTGCCATCCTGAAGGTAGTCGGTACAAGGCCACCAGCCGCTCCACAGGAGAAGGTTGGGCAATCTCCTCCCATACGATTAACTGCCTCTGAAAACCCAGTGGAGGATCAGGGTTCCAACCCCATGAAGAAGTTACTGGGCAAGTGTAAAACTCTGCATAATAAATGCCAACCTTATTGTGATTTTAATATCTGTACTTTTCTACATGCTTTCTATTCTTTCTGTTACCAAAACTAACTAGTGATATGCAGAGATATCTATTCCCTAAAATAATCATTATAACTAGTGAGCTCTTGTGGCCT